CAAAATATATTATACCACTTTCTTCCCAATATCCTTTCCAAAACTGAATTACTTTCAGATCAATATTCTCCAGTATCTCACAAGATTTACCCTTTTCAGCTCATCCTAGAAGAGTTTTTGTCTTAACCTAGTCAGTGCCTACCCTACTTAACACACAACCTCATTTTCACAGCATTTTAGTCACCTTTCACCTTTCTTTTTAGTGAAAGAAGTCATCTTTCACTAGCACATTTTAGTGCGCTAGTTTGGCAAAACTGCTGCCTAAACAACCAACTCTGGACTTTAAAACACTCAAGTTCCCTCTTTAAGGATAGAATTCTACCTTCCACCTTTCTCTAAGTTACTATCTTGATCTCAGAGCAACTTGCTTTTCTTAATAAGCTAATTCCTGGCTGCACTTCCCTTCCTACCCAGTCTGAACATGACCCATATTTATACCACGAATTACTCTCGAATCCCTTGCTTCATGGCCAAATGTTTGGAAAACAGTAGATTAAACTAAGTTAAATGGGTTCTCTTAGAGCAGACTTTCTTAGTCTTAAAAAAAGGAGAGAGAGAGAGAGACTGACTTAGTATGTTATTTCCCCAAATTCATTTTATCTGAAATCCTTTGTACTCCTAAGACCAGTGTCCTCCACCAGTGCCCTAAGGAGCACATTTTTTGAAACACTGACTTACATTTTCTGCTTAGTCCTTCCCTACCTCTCATTTACTCACGGTCTGAATTGCAGGCAGACTTTATCAGGCCAACCACTGTATTGAAATAAATCTATTCTACCAGATGCAATGGCTCACGCCTATCTATAATCCCAGCACCTTGGGAGGTTGAGGCAGGTGGATCACCTGAGGTTGGCAGTTCGAGACCAGCTTGACCAACATGGAGAAACCCTATCTCTACTAAAAATACAAAATTAGCTGGGATGGTGGCACATGCCTGTAATCCCACCTATTCAGGAGGCTGAGGCAGGAGAATTGCTTCAACCCAGGAGACAAAGTTTGCGGTGAGCCGAGATCACGGCATTGCTCTCTAGCCTGGGCAATAAGAGCGAAACTCTTGCCTGGAAAAAAAAAAAAAGAAAGAAAAGAAATACATCAATTCCATTCCTTGATTCAGTAAGTATTGTTGAGCACCCAGCATGAGGCAGAAACTGTTTTAGTAGGCAGGGATATAAGGATGATAAAAACAAAGACTCTGATCATATATAGTTTTCACTGATCTAATAGGGGAAAAAATAAATAAAAACAGATATATAAAATTATACATGGTGATAAGTCCAATTAAGATAAAATTAGTAAGGGCAGAAGAGATGGTCACAATGCTGTCTTGGAGAAGTATGGATAATCAGGAAAAGTTTGTTTAATAAGGAGACAATAAAGACTTTAAAAAGGAATTACCATGAATTTACTAACTGTCAAATCTGAAGCCCTATTTTGAATCCCCCCGCTACCAGGCCTTTCTACAGTCTGAGGCACTGCTGATGAATCCCTTTCACCTTTAAAGTCCTTTCTTTCTTGGCTTCAGTATTTCTTTTTCTCCTCCCAAGCATACTATGTTTTACCTATACTGGACCTGTTAACATGTTTTTTGTGATTTTCCTCATTTAACAAACACATATACTGAGAGGGCATCCTATGCATCAGGCATTTAGTTAAATGCTTTACATATATATTACATCATTTAATATTTAATATAATTTAGGTAGTTACATATTTAAAAGCTCAATTTTTTTTTACAGCAGAAAAAATTAAGGTTCAGATTAAGTAAACTCCCCAAATCACAGAGCTAAAAAGAAACAAAGCAAAGATTCAAACACAGTCCTCTCCAATATACTGTCTATTAAAATATTTGGCAACTAACTCAGTACCACAAAGGAATAAATGCTAGATAAATAAAGATGAAGAACTATTCAGTAAACTAGTACACATTTATACTAGAAAAAGATAAACAAAACATTTTTTCTTTCTTTATTTTTTTAAAGATGGGGTTTCACTATGATGGCCAGGCTGGTCTTGAACTCCTGACCTCAGGTGATCCAACCACTTCGGCCTCCCAAAGTGCTAGGATTACAGACATGAGCCACCACACCTGGTCAACAAAACAGAAATTTTGACAAGACATGACTGTCTTTAAGCCAAGAGCTACACTGAAGAGCAGTCTTTCAAACAAGTTTTAGAGGGCAGTACTAAGATCTAGTAAGTCAACAATCCGTAAGAGGAACAGACAGTCTGATTTCAGTCACAATTTTTAAAAGCATTTATCAGGGTTATGAAGGGAATGCCAATACTATATACAAGGATAAAATCTGCTTAGATTTTTATCTAAGCAGATACCATCTATTCATTTTACAAATAAAAAAAGCTTATAAGAGATTAGAACTCTCCCAAGTCTAGAACTACCTCTATTACCCTTAGATTTGTAGGGCTCAACTTTTAGATGAAAAGGAATTAAGCTTTGCTAAAATTACCCACACAATTTAGAGTTGTTCAGATATTGATTATACAAAAACATGAGTAACTTATATTTGGTTTCAAAGTATAGTGTTTGAGCCTAATACCTCATCTATTGACTGAATATTAAAGAAGCATAAAGACCCAAAAGGTCAAAAGTAATATAAATGGTATATGATTACATACAAATAATGTAAAAGTTATAAAAAAGAGTAAGATCATCTTCAATAGAATTTTTTAAGAGTCCATATATTCTCTAGTTTTACAGCCAAGATTAATGTCTGGTAACTGGTTTCAACTAGAAATATATCTAATGCCAGAATACAATATTTACTCAATTACTCTGACACATTAAGCAAATTTTTGACTATTTCTTACTGGACACTACAATCTAATATTTATTAGACATCGTCAAAGTACTAGACTTTAACTTCTATATGTTTATAGAATGATAGCATAGATGAATGAATTAACGAATGGTAACCTTAAGACTCAGAGTATTTTTTTGATATCTGCAAAGTGTGATCTCTTAGGGGAGGGAGAGCAGAGGAGGAGAAACGGGAAAAAGGCACCTTCCTAACTTCAACAGAAAAGTCCCAGAGCTCTTATTAAATTGAACGACTTGAAATTACCAAAATTCAACTGTTTTGCCCTACATAATTTAGGGCAATTTCATATATTTCAACCCAATTTATCATAATTGAATGCATTATCGTTACCATGTTATTTTGTAAAAAAAAAAAAAAATTAAAAAGAGCAAGCACTATTAACATATACTGGGCCCATAAAACACGCCTATAAATACAGAATCCACCTATTTGTTCTCCTATGCAACTGATTATCCTTATAGGTTTCCATTACATTTTAAAAGCATTCCTAGTAAGGTTTCAATAACAGTAATATCTTAGCACTGTTAAAATGTAAGGTTCACTGAAACGTAGGGTCAATGAGAGTAAAGCTTTATCGTTTTTACTCTTTGCTGCATCCTAGAACCTAAAAAGATACCCATAATAGACATTTAATTAGCAGCAAATATTTATTGAGTACCTACTTTGTGTCAGACATTGTTTTATGTGCTTAACATACATACATAAGCGAAAAATCAGACGATGATCTTTTTTCTTAATAACAAATGTTGAATAAAATTAAAATCTGCAAACTGTTCAAAAAGACTAGATAATATATAATAAAACCTTTTATTATTATTATTATGTATAATGATAATCATAAAGGAATTCCAGAACCAATGTCCTATCCACTGTGCTTTAATCCCACCGTGATACAAAAGCATCTTGAAACTAAAAAATACTGTACTATCATTACAATTCCTTATTTTATGGACACTTTAATTATCTTCCAAAAACCCGTAAGCAATACTGCATACTGCAGCTGTCCACAAATGGAAAATTGTCAAAATTATTTATTTATCATTTTCAAGGTGTTTACTATGAGAGCTTAACCTCAGAGCAAAAGCACATTTGCTTTTCAGTGAACTTAGATGACTGAAAAAGTTACCGGTTACCACTTTTCACTTCATCACACAATGTACAATATTTTACTCTCTGGCATGCAACAATACACAAGACTCAACGCTTCTGCTCATTCTTAATTCCAACTGAATCCATGTAAATTAGCAGACGGGGCAGGGGAGGGGGGCCAAGTCAAGACAACAGGATCTCAATCCTGTAGGTTTGTTCTTCATAACAAATAAAAAAAATCTTGCAACTGTTGTTGCCAGTGTTAGTTATTGCGGGTTTTTTTCTTCCTTTGTTTTTAGGTGAATGCTTTCATCACACAGGATAAAATGGGTAAATAGAATAGAGAAAAAGTGAAAGAACTGGAAACAAAGCAAAATCTGGAGTCACGGTTACAGCACAAAGATAAACCCAAAGATAAGGAACCAATACAGGCTCTTCCTCACACAGCGGTCGTGAAGAAGCTATCAAATCCTTCTGGTAATCTATCGTACGGGCTTTAAAGCTGGCCAGTGACACTTCCTTGTGAGATGCTCTGACATCCCTCAGACAGAAGGCTGTCGGAATGTTAAAAAAAAAAAACAAAACAAAAAAAAAACGGTTACCTAGGGAAATTGGCCAAGGAAGGTGTCAGGAGCTCGAGGCTGGAGACACACCCCGGGGCTCCAGCACAAATTGGCCTGGCGATGTTAAGGCCATGGACAATAATGGATAGAGTCCAGTCTGCAAGAAAAACAAAATCTGGCCAGAGACTGGGATCACTAAGGGCACTCAGAAGTCAGGCAAGATCAGAAAATTGTAGATAGAGACGTGCAGGCATGCGGCCAGAAGCAGGAATGGACTCCGGGCGGACAAGCCCAGCTGAAGACCGTCTGAGGCGGGGCAGCCTGGGAGCGTTCGCTCCACCGCATCTGGGCTGGCCAGCTCCCTTCGGCCCCGGCCTCCAGAGGTGCGGCGGGAACCTGGCGGAGTCCGCCGCTCCAAGCTTGCCCTTGTCTCCCTGCTACTGGTGTCTAGGGACCCCAGCTGCTCCGGGCCCGCTCTAGTCGCCCTGCCCGCATCCCTTCCTCTCCTCACCTTCCAGTCCCTCCATTGCACCGCCGCCTCGAGCTCAGCGAGACTCCTTCAGCAGCGCCCGCCACCGCCCAGCTCTGGCTGTAGCAACCCAGCCGCACCTCCCACCAGCTAATATCCCGGGCTCCTATTGGTTCCGGCGCTGTGGGGCGGGGCTCCGTGGGGGCGGAGGCGCGCCTCCTGCGTTCTCTGCCTACCTCGCTGGGTCTCTGGAGGTTACCCTCCAGGGATCCGCGAGCCGCTTCAGGTTGCATTCTGCGACGCAAAGGCGCCTTTGTTCGACTCCAACCTTGTTTTCCTTCATACCTTATCCTCCTATTTTGAGTACCTCAGCACCTCATGGGCTGCGCTTCAGCATTTCCCCATCAGTCAGTGCCTCTGACTTCTAGCCGCCAGTCCCTCCCAGCGGATACTTTAAGCAAGCAACCAAACCAAACAGACGCCCAGTACGCTTCCTTGTAGGACGCTCCGTTTTCCGCTCTTTGGTCGCATGACTTGACCTGAGCGTATCCCCTAGACTTGATCTTCACACACAGCTTCATAGGTTCAGACACGTTTTTTCTAGAGAAATCATACTTTCTATCTGCGATTGTGGAACTGCTATTGCTCTAAGCCCTTGAAAATAATTTCCTCATATGAAAGCTTGGGTCAAAATTTAGAAGTGAAACCCAGCCTTCCCTCCATCTTCTACTCTTGGCCTACCCTGGGCCTACACTTTATCATCCTTGAACCGAAACAGTCGCCTGGCCTTATAATGTTTGATCGGGGAAGTTGAATTGGGGAATTAACCTACAACCTGACAGGATGCGGTCCGCCAGTCTCCAACAGAGTTTAAAACATCCTGAAGATGAAGGTAACTTCAAAACGAACTCAGACCATTTTAATGTTTTTACTTACAATTCACCAGAGCTACATTTCTTTGAAAATTTGATTTAGCAGTTATAAACAAATTGTATTGTTTGTTGACTATAGCGTATCTACCGGCAAGCTACCAGTATTATGCAAACTTCGGATGAATTTTATTGTTAAGCTACTCTAGACTGAATGAGGAAAGGTCCTTTTTTCCTCCTTAGTGCTGCTAAGGCAAAAGTAGAATTTTGAGTAGGGAGAAAAGGGCTTAAAAAAGCATTAAGGAGGAAAAAAGCACACAGAAGAAAATATAAAAATAAAGGCGCCATTATTTTACAAATTACAAGTTCTTTTACTGAAGGCAAGATGAATATTGAGTTGGCTAATACTATTTAGCATAAAATCTACAGAAACAATAAAAATAATAATAGTCAAAGAATAAATCATGTGAGACATGTTTTAGGTCCTTTTTTTTTTTTTGGACGAACGTCTTGTTCTGTCGCCCAGGCTTGAGTACAGTGGCGGGATCTCGGCTCACTGCAACCTCCGCTTCTGGGGTTCAAGAGATTCTTCTGCCTTAGCCTCCCAAGTAGCTGGGATTACAGGTGCTCGCCACTGTGCCCGGATAATTTTTGAATTTTTTTGGAGACGGGGTTACACCATGTTGTCCAGGCTGGTCTCAAAAGTCCTGACCTTGTGCCTCGGCCTCCCAAAGTGCTGGGATTACAGGCGTGAGCCACGGCACCCGGCCAGATCCTTTTACATATTCATGAATCTTCAAAAGATGTCTACAAAGTAGATACTGCAATCTTCATCTGACAGAATCAAAATTTTCATATTCTAGATGTCTCAGAGAATATTTTGTCAATATTTCGATCATTACTGAATGGTAGAGCTTGGTTATACTCTTGTCTGTTAAATTCTAAAGCCTATGGTGATTTAAATGGGTTCCTTACTACCCTTCCTTGCCTTGCTTTTTATTATAGCTGCCTCGAATGTAAACTCAAGTTTTAGACATGTTGTTTAACATATATTTGAGTAGGCATTTCTATTGTGAATCTTAATTTTCTAAAACATGATTGCTAGTCTTCTCTAAAGGTATTGGTACTTCAGAACTTTTATGCTACAGCTACCCTGGCTCCTGCAGTTTTTCCCTGATTCTGACCCCTGGATAAATAGGACTTCTTCCTATCAGCCTTCAATAAGTTACTTCCTCTGCCGCCTAAATACCCAGCCTGAGAGTCTCTTTGGCCTAGGCGCTGTATCATGACTTTACTTTCTCTGCAGTCTAGTCCATTTTTCAGAATGCATTCATTCAACAAATGTTTGCTGAGTACCTTCTGTGCTTCAAGTCCATTTTATCACTACCAGTTATTAAATGAATGAAGTTCAGCTTCTTCTCTTGTTTTTTAAGCACTTATCTGCACATATTTTTTTACCTGCCATGTGATCTTATTAACTGTGTTAGATACAGTGAACCCCAAATTTCTCTTCAAAGAATCAGTATGTCGGTATGTTCAGCTCTCTTATTCTTTAATTCTCGATTTTAAAGTTCAGCTTCCTTGTAGTACACATGTGTTCCCCTGGGGCCTCAGCTCTGTCCTGACTCATATGGTCACCTGCCTCAGTCACCTGCTCCAGTCACCTTCTTTGACGTAGGTCACCCCTGGCTACCTGCTCTACCCTGCTCATAATCACTCTTCCCGCCAAACCACCAACCTGCCACTCCAAGTAGGACCCCAGCTCTCTTTAAAATAGCCAATGGGTCTAAGTCAAGTTTGTGTGGTCTAACCCTAGCCAATAGGCGAGCGACACAGCAGTAGGGGAGACCCCGGTCACGCATAAGTACCTTTTCCCCTTCTTGTACAGGCCTGTGGCCACCATTGCTCCATCCATGCACCACATCTTTCTATAGAAGTAAACTGCCTTGCTGAGAGGATTTATCTTCAAGTGCTATTTATTTTGTAGTATCAAAATTTTACTTACAATAACTGATAATAACATTTATAGATCAATAAGAATTTGAGATCTTCCAATCTCCTTGCCAGACAAAAAGGAAAACAAAGTTTCAGAGATATTTCTGACTTGGTCAAGATCACAAAACTAGTACTTAATTGAAATAGATATTGTATAGGTGTTTTATTACATCATATCCGTGATTCTTTTAATTTTGCATTATATTCCCTTCATCCACCATTCCCTTGAGCAGATCCACATCTATTCTGCACATTCCAAAAATGTGCATAATAGATGTGGATCTGCTCAAGAGCAAGCTGCATATAGCTTCTTGTTTCAAAGCTCCAATCTCTTGAATCCCACCAAGTTCCAGACCCCTTTCAGAGAGAGAGCCATTGGTTCTCATTCAGATCATTTGCAGACCACAACTAAATGAGACTCTGAGTCTCAGTGAGAACTCAGTTTATCACCTCCACTATGTGGGGCATTTCTTCCTTTCATGACCAGCAGAGGAATGACCTAATACAATTTAGCATATAAAAATAATTCATACATTTGGTAATCATAAGAAAATGATAATATTCATCAAAAACATAAGAAAATAATTCCCTTAAAAGAGTTCTAGATTGAGAAAGCACATTTTGAGTTGGTTTTTGCTAGCTTTATTTGAAGTAAAAATAAAATTATCTAAGTGTTCAGGAGAAAAATCGTGATAGGCCTGAGATAATCAGAAAGCATATAGGTAGGCTGTCACAGGTGAAGATTTATTGAAGACAAACTATCCTAGACAAGAAGCACCAAGAAAAGAAAGAGGGGTTTTAAAAAGGTGAGGAATTTAAAGAAAACTTTACCTACTTAATTGATTGAAGGGCTATTCCATTCATAGTGTGATAGCAATTATTCCAGCTCTATTCTTCTCTACTTTTGAAACAAATTTTCAACTGCAAAAAGATCATTTTCTTCAACCTTCAGCTATGATCTTGCCTTTGTATCACAATTTCAAATCTTAACTAAAAATCTATTAATCAAAATGCTTATTGAGGTCCTCTCTAGTCTAGTCCATTTTTCTGACACATTCTTTCAACAAATATTTGTTGGGTACCTTCTGTGCTTCAAGTCTATTTTATCACTAGCCAGATACTAAAATGAATGAAGCTCAGCTTCTTCTCTTAGGTTTTTAAGTACTGGTCTGTACATATTTTTTTTTAACCTGCTATGTGACATTTTTAACTGAAAATAACATACATAGACCAATAAGGATTTGATGTCTTCCAACCTTGAATACGACATTGCTCTAGGCACAACAGAAAGCTTCAAAGAAATCTCTCTGATCTCTAGAAAGTTAACATCTAGTAAAGGAAACCCTGAGCAAGACATTATGCAGGACAAGAGAGGGTTAATGGTAGTAAGTTTTAGATGTGGTGCAGCTTATAAAAGCAGTTGGTTTCAGGAAGTCATTAACATGAATGAAACAATTTTAAAGGTTTTATAGGCATAGAACTTAAATTGTGTCTTGAAGAGTGTCATAGGATAGGTAGAGATCACTGAAGATGATGGGACAATGGCATAATCTTCCTTAAGAAAATGATACAAGCCTGGCTTTTTTTGGGACCATCTAAAGAACCAAGGAGAATATTTGTATATATTTTGGTTCACGTGTAGCATTTGTTCTTCTTTATATTACAGAGTACAAGCATTATGGCTATATAATGTATATCTTTTTAAGCCGGGTGCTGAGTTAATGATACTCGCTAACACCCAGCATATACCTCAACTATGCATGCAGAGGTATTTATTTTATTTTCTTTTTATTGTTTTTCATTCATCCTCCATTTTTGTTTAATTTACCAGCCTCCTTGCTATAGGCACAATTCTATTACATACAGATGTCTTTGGATATAGTGATTCTTTGAAACACATATGGTGCTGTTTTGTATATGCATCTGTTTTTAATTTACGTAAATGGCATTATTTTATGGTTTTCATTCTGTTTGCAATTTTTAAATTTTAATTAATTTTATTATTTTATTTAATTTTTAAATTTATTGTTAACTTTTTATCATTCATTCAGCGATACACCCATGTCACTATATGAAATACAAGTTTATTGCTTCTGGATGTGGGATAATAGTATTTTACTGTATGCCTACACCACCACATTTTACTTACTCATTTCTGTACTGATGGGCACTGAGTTGCCTCTAACCTGCTGCTACAATGCACATCTTTGTGCCTGTCCTCTTATGAACCTGGGCTCAAGTTTCTCCGGGATGCATCCTTGGAATAAATTACTGGATCATATTCACTTCCACTAAGCACCCAGATTTCTCTCTACAATAGCGATACTGGTGTACATTCCCATGAACAGTACAGAGGGCCCATCTTTCTATGTCTCAGTAGTAATAGTTGACTTAGCTCTAATTTTTGAATCAAGAGTTCATCTTTTCTTCATATACTTGCTAATTCATATTTGGCTTTCAATGAATTGCCTGGTTTTACCCATTTGTATATTGAAATTCTCATGTTTTTCTTATGGACATATAAATTCCATGTATATTCTAGATGTTGACCCATGCTAATTTTAATTATTTAAAAAATATTTTTCCAGTTCGCCAAATACTTGATAATTTTGTCTTTGATGTCTTTCACTGAATAAATTAATTCAGTCCATAAGATTAATTCTATAAAATCTGTCAATATATTTTCTTTATGAATTGTGCATTTTTTTATTAAAGTTTTCTTCACTTCTAGATTATTGATGGTATTTTCTTACATGTTTTTGTATTAGTGTTATCCATTTTATCTTTCTTAATTAGGTTTTCAATCCACCAGGAATCACCTTTGTATATTATATGTGTTTGAAATCAACTGCATTCTTCTGCCTATAATTAGTCAGTTTTTCCTAAACTATCTCTAAACAGAGGAAGTAAATATAGACAGCACAGAATTACAAATACAATGATATTTTGAACAGCTTTGTTTCTATAAATATAAAAACTCAGAGGAAATGGATATCTTTCTGGATAAAATTAAAAATTATGACAAGAA